ATTTGCTTGCAAAAATTTAAGGGCCCAAAACACCATATTCAGCTTTTAGTGGAAATTTAACAAAATGCACCATATTTAGCTTCGACTGAAAATTACTTGAGCACAAGAGTAATGGAATAGCCTTTCTCGTAAATATTAATTTTTTTTTTTATATATATTATTATGTCGAATTTTGTACAAATTCACTTAAAATATAATAAAGAGTTGGGCAAAAACATACATACAAATATTACTACAAATGTGAAAATAAGTGTGTTCTATAAGAAATGTACCGATATTCCAACTAAACGTAAACTCAAATATCCGTAATTCCGATTTATAACAAAACCGTTACGCTTTTGAGTAATTTTGATGCTTTTCACATACACATAGTTAGCCTGTGTTTTGTAATCTTCGTAAAAAAATACATTTGACATTATGAAAATTCCAGCTAATATTATTTCGGGCAAATGTATTTTCTGACTTCTGATAGGTAATCCCAAGCCGTAAAACGAGTACAACAATATTTTGTTACTTATTGCTAACGTTTATTAAAAAATCATTTTAAAGATAAGATTAAAATCAAAGCAACTCTATAGTTTCTTTATTCTAAATATTTCAATTGCTTGTGGTTCGAACAATTGAAAATGACCAAGAAGTTTATATAAGCTTCTTGAAACTGACGTAATGGGTCTCTTTCCATCTTTTACGCATGCAATGAGTAGAAAAAGGGCAGTTAGGTATTTGATTATTTTGTGTGTTTTTGTAATTTATATTTACGATTCAGTTATACATAAATAAAATACTATAAAACTGTACAAAATAACGCTTTTAAATGAGAACTATGATTTGATAACACAATATATTTGTTTAGTTAAAATATGATACAAAATCCGGTTTTTACACTTTACTGCAATAATTTTTACAAGTTAATATTATTAGTACTGCATGATTGACAAACGCGCTGTCACTCGAACAAACGAACTATTGCGCGATTGACGCTCTGTATGTGATTTTAACGCCCTACAGGTGCGGAAACTTTTTAGCGCGAACCCGACGTCCATTTATTGGTAGGTCAATGATTGCATGCTTTCAATTAATATATTTTAGTAGCTAACTGATATATTACATTTAATCAGGCTAGGCCATATACAGAGTTTAATTATGAAACTATTAACTATAATTAAAATTGTATTATTAATTTTAATTTTAGCTTATAAGACTTATCATTTGTTATACCCTTACTGGGTGCATGTAACATTTTAAATGTAACCTAACGTACGTAACTACCAATGCAAATGAATAAAAAAATACCAAACTACATTTAACTTAACTTTTTATTTACATAGTACGATTACGTCATTTATGACACTTTAAGTTTGGAGATTTTTTTTTCCATTAAGAGATTCAAACTGTTTAATGGACAATGGCCAATTCTAAAACTTACTTCCTTCTTGCAAATCAAAGTAAATGAAGAGGCTGACACCATATTGTATGATACCAGATACCTTTTTGTCTTGAATTGATGTTGAAATACACATATTCCACATTTTAAGAATTGAATGTTGTGTTAGAATGTGTTGAAGAATTAGAATGTGAAATTATATGTACCAGACAATCACAACAGTAGCATGGTTTCAAACTAGGGAATTGCCTGTACTATGAATACCAGAGTAATGAAATTAATTTTGGACCACAACACAGAACACCCAGAGCAGAACCAACTTAATTAAGTTCATTTTCCAAATTGATTCCACCGGAAATCGAATGCTCTTCATCCAGTGCCCACAATGAAAAATGCTAGGGTATTGAGGTTGTCATATTCCAAGGAAATAAATCAGCAGTGCCAAATTGGTTAATTAACGATTGAAGGGAGTTACAATGTGTCGTGTGAGTGGGAGACTGTGTAAATATTTATAACTCTTTTCAGATAGTTGATGTGTGTGTATTTGAGAATTGTTTTAACCTTGAGAAACATGGTTGGATTAGTGACTGTTATGTTTTGTATTCTGTTATTAAAAGAGAAGGTTTAATTTAATTCAATTACTTTTTAATTACCAAACAAATAGTTGGGCTAAAATTACCAACCATAGTTTAAAACACTTCAGTAGGCCTATAATGATAGGACGCGACTTGAGCGAGAATGATATAAAGCGCGAAATACTGCTATTCTCGCATACATATCTCGCGCTTTATGTTGCTCTGTTGTATTGTGCAAGTTGTTCCTTATCGTGCTAGCCCTACTGGGCATTTATGAATAGATAGCAAACATGTGCATATATACGAGCATATACAAGGCGTGGTAGCCTGACGGTTTGATTTCTGCCTCTTAAGCAGATATCGTGGGTTCGAATGTTGGCTCGCACCTCTGAGTTCGTATGTTATGTAAATTCAATTTAATTTTACCATCAACTTATCAGTGAAAAGAAACATCATGATCAAACCTGCAAGTGCAGGAAAGTTCACAACCCTCGGAAAACGTATCAAGTCCCCAACCCCCATTGACCCGTGCCCAGCAGTGAGACGTATAAATGGGTTGATGGTGATAATGATACAGTACTACAGTACAGTGCTGACTATTGGGGTGATGCACAAACATCATCACTGTGTTGAGAGCTGATAGTGTGACATGAATTTATTAAAGACAGAATCTAAGAACAGATTTATAGGTTTTATGATAGTTTATACATAATAAACAGATTGCTTATCAGCAATAACTGCTTATACTTGATAACCACAGATTAGAACAGGCAGAGTATATTTACATAAATTTCAAGGAAGTAATACATAAATAGAGTGGATAATACCTCCCTCTAATCTGGAAATTAATGCATTGTATTTTGTTCTATATAAAAGTTTCTTTTATTTTAATGTTTTGCCTTATAGTTTTCGTAATACCAGAATTTGAGGGTGTGGTGGTTTGGGAGGTGTTGTCCACTCTATGTGTAACACTTGAAGATTAGATAAAATATAACACTTGTGTGTTATAACCAGTCATAAGATAAATAACCACTCTCAGAATTTACAATGTCATTAATTATGATCATATACATATTTCTAGTGACTTTTAAAAGTGTATTAGAATTTAGACATTAATACAGTTCTAACTATAGACATTTTACTGTATATTTAACAATAAATATCATTGCAACTGACAGTGACTCATTATCTTCAATTCATTACAGTATGTGTTGTATTATGAAGTGTGTTATTTATAAAAATGTGAATATGCTATATTAGGCCTAATTAACACATTTGCTACATCCTCTAATGATATGACAATTGTTATATTAAATAAAGCATGTACCAATGTGTATGTGTTCTACATTTTTGTATGTGATAAGTGTTTTTTCTCATGTACCATTTAATATTCTATTCAGTATTGTTGGAAAACTTAAGTTATTTTTCAATTGTGTATCTATACCACCCTTCTTATCATAACAAATGTAATCAATATTTTTAGTGAAATTGAGTGATAAACATATCTGAGACCACTGAAACAAGATCTACAACCCGCTCTAAAAAAAAACTTTAAGTGTCAGTATCATGAAAGTTACTGTAATGACAAATGTGTTAGTTATGACAAGGAGGGCAGTATACATGGCTGAAGTTTTCCTAAAGTTCTATGACAATCTTTTGTGAACTTTTAAAGACATGTTCTTAAAACCTACTAGGGTTGTCTTACTTCAAAACATTTTCTTTGCAAGAACTTTACCCTACTAGGTATACTATAGATATTAGGTAGTTTAGAGAACTCTGAGTAAATCAGAAGTTTAAATACAATTAATAAATCTAAAAAATACAATCATAAAGTATTTCAATAGAGCTCTATAGTAGCAGTAGAGCCCTTTGTGAAAAAGTTTGTCCAGGGAAGTACTGCCACCTTATCTATTTCTGCTGCCAAGCAGTAATGTGAACATTACTGCATTCTCGTTTCGAAGGGTAAGGGTGCTGGCGAAATTACAGTTACGTAGGACTTGTCAAGTTATGTCTCAGGGTGTCGGGCGCAGTGGCAGTGCCTCTCAGATCTTTGTGATTTAAAGGTCTGAGTGACGCTGCAACTGTTAGAGACAGGAGTGACGCTTTCCACCAGGCACACAACTTGTTCGTCCCGTCACTTAGTATTATAAAAAATTCAAATTTAATCAATACTAATAAGTGTTACTAACATGTTTAAGCTCTACTATGTACACAAGTGACAATGCAAAGTAATTGTTAACTACCTACCACTACTGCAGTCAAATAATAGCACTTATTACCTTGACTTCTTTAGAAAGCATTAATTATTATTGTGTTGTACACATGTAGGTATTGCAGCAGTTACAAAAGAAGTCCCATATACTCAAAACAAATACTCTGCCTATAGAGCATTCATGACAGTTACTAGGAACACTAAAACCTGTTGTAACCTAATACAGATATACTAGAGTTACATACATAGACACTATGGTATTAAAATATTTTCTAGATAGATGTATCAGCTGATAAAGTTAATTATGAAGCCAAATTCAAATATACCAAAGAACGATAAGATTAGAGTACTTGAAATGCTCACTTGATCTGATCAATCAATAGATACCCCCCAATTACAAGCATCAATGACAGATATCAACACAAAAATTAAAGGTTCATAATTTGTTAAGTGTAATATCGAGAATAATAAATGATTAGCAGCATTTCCGTGTGTCGTCTATAAATATCCCCCAACCAATTACATTAATATTAACCTGGACGCCTTTTGACGGCTGGGTGTGGTAAAATATTAAGCTGTGGTAAAGGGAACTGCTTGTAATTGTAAATATGGTACCGTACCGACTCGATCAGCTACAGATATCTCAAAATGAGTATCAAATAGACGACTCCGCTAGACCTAGCGTACATAAGCTGTCTTAACCGCCTGTGTAGGTATATGAATCATACAACATATAGCTACCAACACTTACAAAAACTTAACCAACATTCACAAAATCCATCTCAAATACAACCCTACATAATCTAGGACAAAAATTAGGCCACTTTACCTTGTCGCATAACGTTTTGACTTGATTTTCTGTCAATTGCTTGCATTCATTTAGCTGCTCTATCCATTGATCCAGTTCTTTTAGTGACGCTTTGTCCTCCATACTTTGAGTCTGTGGAATTAACGTACGAGACGTTAATTTGGTGTTGAAATGTTTTTAACTTTTAAATGTCCACAAAACCATGCGAATTAACTATTATACACTGCAGCCAGTAAACTGATTTCGGCAGACACTTTACAAAATGGCGTAGAACTACTTGCGTGACGTCAATTTTGTTCAAGAGCGACGTTCCCCTAGCGGATTTCCAAGGAAACTTCTAATGATGCCAACGAATGGATGCATTCAAGTTTGATGAATTACCAGTCTTCTCCTTCCTAGTAAATACTCAATTTCTTTCTTCCCTTTAGTACGAGAGCTCGGAGCATTTGAACCACATTTTCCTTTATTTTGCCAGAAAAAATAAAGCTACCAGTCAAAGATATTCACACAGCATTATAAATTCACTAAAAATACTGAATCCAGAAAAATGAAATAGTTATACAATTGAATTATCGACAATCATAATTATAACTTCTGAATTACTAAGAAAAGGCATAATTCTCGTACCATAAGCTTTTTTCTTCTTTGTCCGCCAGACGCCATCTATCGATTAATTATTAGCTTAATTTAATGTGTCAGAAAAATATGTACTTATTATTAATAGTTCATTATTTTATTATTATTATGGGGATGTTTGTCAAATTTGTATTAATAATGTCATTCCTTTGATTGACATCAATTTTTTTTTAAATTTGTATATCATGGACTTTCTAAAACCTGAATCCCTCCAATCTCAAACTTCTCAGATAGGATTTTGTTAATTTTTCACCACATATTACTATTACACAGCTACTTTGAGTATACAACACAGCTACTATTTTTTGCCAAATAGAACGTGGTTCGAATGCTCCTTACCAACCTTGAAATTGTTTATTATGTTAATTTTTTGCAACCTAGAAATATTTTAATATTCGCGCATACCTTTAATGATGCCGAAGGAACCACTTTTGCTTTTGCCATTGTTGCGGGCGTTTCTACCATAAATTCCATTAGAATGATTGTTTAATTCTTGAAATTCAACAGAAATTGTATTTGCTCATAAATTACATTGGCATAATAATTTTCCTAAAACCTATGAATATTGTATTGAAATATGTCAAGACAAGATGTTCAACTACTTTGAATTTTGGTTTGTTTTTTTTATTTTCTAAATTAATCCTAAAAAGATTCGTTTACACCTACTACCTACCTACATACTTACTACTTAATTCTTTTGTCATTGTATCTTTATAATTTGTTTACAGTGTGGCGGCTTTAGACGCCGCCTATTATCACCGGCTGGCTATGGCAGTCTCTTTGGACGAGAGTCGCCAAGGAGAGTGTCACAAAGGTGTCACACTTGCCGTAAATGTTTGACAGTTTTTAATTACGTAAATTGTCATGTCAGCGATTGCAAATTGTTTGCCAGGTTTAATATAGAGATTTTGTAAAAAACCACGAGACTTTATAATTATGTCGCCATTCACGAAGTTCACGAGGCCGTCTTATTGCTCGTTAGGGGTGCGATAAATTCCCCAAAACAGTTTAAATGGCTTAAGAGATAACTTTCTATAATATTGTTATTCTACAAATAGAACGCACAATTTTTTTCCTTTTCTATAATGTAATATTGTATCTGGATCTGTTCTACTAAGTCTTTTCCCTATGTTCTTTTTCTTTCGTTACATAGCAATATTCTTTAACATTTCGACACATGCAATAAATATGGTTATAAGAACATTGGACAAACGACTAGGGACAGTTCGATACTAGTAAATACTCGATACTTTTGTTTCGATATCGAGTACTTTTAGTATCGATTTCTTTCGATTTTTACTGGGTATCGGAAGAAGAATACTGGTATCAAATCAAAACACACACGCGTAAATATTTATCTAACCTTAATCCCACTTCCCAGGTAAATGATCTATCTTTTTACACATTATTTTCTTTCCATTTTCACCGTTTTACAGCAAACAAATGCAAACCGCGAAGTACCAGAGTAAAAAAATGTATATGTCTATCTATGGTCCCTTTGGATCATTTTTGGATGAATTTTGGACATACATCTCAGCGAATAAGCGAAATAGTGCGAAGCAGCAGCGAATAAGTGCATTTTTGTATTAGTTTTTATTTTAATTAATGTTTAGTTTAGGTGTAAATTCGCAGTAATAATCGATTATCAAAATCTCGATTAGCGGAATTATCGATTTAGCTATAATACTTTAAAAAAAAAGAAAATACCGTTTATTTATTTAATTGTGCAGTGCGTGCTTGTTAAAAGTTTACTACTTTTTTATTATTATGGTGCCGCCAAAATCTAAAGTATGGACATATAGGTATCGATACTTTTAAAGTACTCATATGATTCGTATCGCAAGACGAATTGATTACTATTTAAATAGGTATCAATACTTTGATGGTATCGAAACATTCCTACACATGACATGACGCTTTATTTTGCATGATTTTCACTAGGATAACGTTATAGTTAACGATAATAACATTTTAGCCGTTGTAACCATAACGATAAAAAGGGCAAGACTTACTTCCGTTTCCGTTGCTTTCGTGCTTGTCATCGAGTTGTCAAAATTCCGGTTCTTTTCGTTTCGTTGTGTGTAGGTAATCGGTTGCCCGCAGCAGGAAATTATCAAAAATGACTGAAACTCTGAAGCTCAGAGGCACTCTTTGCGGCCACAATGGATGGGTTACGCAAATTGCGACGAATCCCAAATATCCTGATATGATTTTGTCTTCTTCTCGAGGTGAGTGAGGTTATAATAATTTGTCAAGAAGCACTATAAATCTTAAAATCCATTTCCATCATAGAATTCTCACAATAACTGCAGATATTAATGCATTGAAACTAAGTAAAATAGTAACCTATAGTTTAGGGTAACATTATTTTATAATGATGACACAAATCTTTGCCACGCGATTCCTGAGCGGCAAGCGGATATGGGGCTGATAACACCATGATGAAAATATATACGCGTTTAAGGAAATTTGTGTTATATTGGTGAATTTAAAATTTCAGACAAGACCTTGATCGTATGGAAGTTGATAAGAGACGAGATGAACTATGGTGTACCTCAAAAGCGTCTATATGGCCACTCTCACTTCATCTCTGACGTGGTTCTCTCTAGTGATGGAAACTACGCTTTGTCTGGCTCGTGGGATAAGACCCTGCGTCTTTGGGATCTTGCCGCCGGAAAAACCACCAGGCGTTTTGAAGACCATACTAAGGTGTGATAAATCTTACTTTCGATAGGGTTATAGCGCCGATACGCGGCAGAAGATAAGTGTAAGTTGTGCCTAAGCGAGGCAGAAGAGTAGTGTGCTTGTGCCTATGCGAGGCAGAAGAACTTAGCCAGTTCAGTCCCAAATGATGTCCTTGGCACTGATGTTCTTGGTGTAAGTAGTAGCTTGTAAGTTCACATAATTTTGCATGTAGTAAATTACAGAAAAGGTAGACATGTTTAGTATATCTTGTTAACTTTAAATGCTGTGATATTTATGCAAAATTAATTTTATTTTCTTTATAAACAGGATGTCCTCTCGGTTGCCTTCTCTGTTGACAATCGTCAGATTGTGTCTGGTTCCCGAGACAAGACCATCAAGCTGTGGAATACTCTGGCTGAGTGCAAATACACCATCCAGGATGATGGACACTCTGACTGGGTGTCCTGTGTCCGCTTTTCTCCTAACCATGCCAACCCAATCATTGTTTCATGTGGATGGGACCGTACAGTCAAGGTGCATAAATTTCAAAGTGGATGGAGTAGATTATAATATAAAAAATGTTCTGTAAAGCTAATTAACTAAAAATCTTTTACAGGTCTGGCACTTGACCAACTGCAAGCTTAAGATCAACCATCTTGGTCATTCTGGTTACTTGAATACTGTCACTGTTTCCCCTGATGGTTCCCTTTGTGCTTCTGGAGGCAAGGACATGAAAGCTATGCTGTGGGACCTAAATGATGGCAAGCACCTGCACACCCTAGACCACAATGATATCATCACGGCTCTCTGCTTCTCACCCAACAGATATTGGCTGTGTGCTGCATTTGGACCTTCCATCAAAATCTGGGTAAGCAGATTATGCTGTACTGTAATCATTGGATCATGAACATTATTGCATTTTAGTTTAATGAAACGATTTCATTAATTTTATTCTTCTCAGGATCTTGAAAGCAAGGAAATGGTTGAAGAACTCAGACCGGAGATCATAAACCAACTACAAAATTCCAAATCTGACCCTCCTCAATGCCTATCCCTTGCTTGGTCTACAGATGGCCAGACCCTCTTTGCTGGGTACTCTGACAACATCATTAGAGTTTGGCAGGTATCAGTCTCAGCGCGATAAGGTGTATTGGAATAGGGATTTCATTTATTTTTGTGCTATTTACATAAGAATTTGTATATGACAGGAGGATAAAAATAAATGAAATTGTTTATGCATAAGTGTTTTTATTATGATCTCCCTGTAAGATTATGATCATTTGTTGGCTTTGTAAGCTATTGTGTAAAGTACAAAAAAATGCATTGATATGTTAATGTTAGTTATTGTAATAAAATATTTTTTGTATACATAACATTTTATTTTTTTAACAATAGTAGATCTCAGATTTGAAAATAATATTTGTGTTGCTCCTAAACCAGACATAATAAAGATTCCAAATTATTTATAATAGATACACAACCATGCACCAAACTATAAAAAATATGTCAATAAGAACTTAGAGGAATTCCAGCCTCATTCATGAGATGTGAACCGTCTACAAGTACAGTTGGGCCTTCACCAACTTTAGTATGAATAATATACTTGATCAAATCCTTTTCTTGTGGCTGAACAGATAATTTGCTCAACATGTTGGTGTCCAAATGTTCACTCCTAGAACTAAGTCCAGTAACATAAGCTTCAGGTGATGAGGACGGGAAAACATGCTTGATAAGAGACAGTACTTTAGGCACTTCTTTCTCAAGCAGATACAAGCATGCATTAGGACCAGCATCAAAGGTATATGCAACTTTGATCTCTCCACATATTTCGTTGTAGGTATGAACCAGTTCAATGATTTTGTGTGAAACCTCCGTGATGTATGTAAATGGAGGATAGGAGTCAAGACAGATCGCATGGAATTGGTTACTCTCCTTCATTGTTATCTCGGCAAACTTATTGTAGTTTCTTTCCTTTATTGCTTGACAAATCTCTTCAGTTCTTTTGGGAACACAATACTCTACTCTGTACTTTAATAAATCAGATGTTTCAGTAGATATCTTCATGCCTTTAGTTGAACTAATTTTCTTCTTTGATTCCCCTACAACAAGAATTAAAGCTCTCATTTCTGGCCAATGTTTAGAATCTGCAACTTGTGTTGCAATAGAATCTGATCCATCTGATTTCAATCCCGCATGCCATCTTACGAATCCACCGTACACACTGCGACAAGCGCTTCCCGAGCCCAATCTTGCGATTAAACTGACGTCAGATTTCACCTTGTATAATTTCGCTAAAGCCGATACCAGGCATGCGTACCCGGCAGCTGAGGAAGCCAGTCCAGCAGCCGTAGGAAAATTATTCTCCGAACATATATGAACTTTCCAAGTCAGAAAAATGTTGTCCACACTTTTTTCGTACGCTGCCCGATCTTTTATTTCTCTCAAACAATTCAGCAATCGTTGGTTAGAGAATGACTCCCTCTTTCCATTCAGCCATATCGTGTCTTCATCAAAGTCTGGTCTAGCACAAACCGAAGTTTTAGCACACATAACATTTATATCTAATGTAGCACTAACGGAATCATTTAACGGTAATATTAATTCTTCGTTGCGCTTGCCCCAATATTTTATTACAGCTATATTCACAGGTGCAACCACTGTCACTATTCCACTCATATCATAAATTTGCGCAAGCTTTTTTTGGAATAGAATAAATATAATCAGAATAAAGATTTATTCCTGCGAAATCCGAGTGCAAGTGAAGGAAATTAAACTTGAACCAAACAAAACTTTATTTGACAGTCTCAAGTAGGTATAGTGTATTTATATAGATTAGAGGATGGAAAAAAAAAGTTAACATGTATGTTTGACAGACTCCCTATTTTTTTGCATCTCAGTGTTGCCAGTGCCCAATGCCCAATTTCCATTCACGTTAAGTGAAACTGTCGTGTCTTAAATTTTATTAACATACAAGCACTAATACAAAATAGACAACTGTACTTTAATAAAGCCATTGTATTTGCTGACATTAAACGGTTCGACTTTTTTTGATTTTCGGAATGAGATAAAAAACTTTAAAAAAAAGTGTTGGGTCGTTGGGTCACGTAAATTTTCCGTTTTCAAAAATGCATATTCATCAGAAAAATAAATATTTTTTTCACATTCTTCCATATTTGACAGTCGACATCTATCAAAAGTTAAAGATTTTGAACGAAAACGATGGATTCAAAAAATTACCAGAAAAAGGAAGAAATAATATAATTGATTAACTTAGGGTCGTATTCTAGAACTCTAGTATTGACTAGAGTTTATATTTGAGCATTGAGTAGAGTTCTGGAATACGACCCTAAGGGTCGTATTCTAGAACTCTACTCAATGCTCAAGTCAGGATTGCAATTGAAACACAAGCACTGGAAATACGACCTTAATGGCAGGGACTTGAGTATGATTTCGAGTGCTTTAAACCATACTCAAATCCTGACTTGAGCATTGAGTAGAGTTCTAGAATACGACCCTAAGAGAGATGATTAATCGAGAATTATGTAGATGTTGTTTATTAAAACCTTAGAGGATGGAAAAAAGGTGAAACGGCTATTTTTAACTGACTTAAACAAAGGAGGATTTTTTGTATGTGTGTTACGCGATAACTCGATTTGTGAACCGATTTTGATGATTCTTTTTTGTTGGAAAGAGAGAACGTAGTTCACTAAGTAGTCTGTGAAAGAGAGTATCTCAGTATTGGTCCTATTTAAATTTGAAGAAAATATTCTACCTCTAAGGGTGGCAAACTAGGGGATGAATCTGGTTTCGCGCAACTTAATCCAGTAATTGATTTCATGATTTCAATAAAACTTGGCAGAGTCCTAAAAAAAGGATATCTATGCACAGGGTAGGTCAATGTTCTGCACTGATTTACTAGTCTCATGAAGTTATGACTTTGAACGTGAGTCAAAGTTAGAATAGAATTAAAAACTTTTATACGTATTATATTTTATTTTATGCAAAAGTCTGTCAAATATTCGTGATGGGAAAAAAGAAACGCATTTTGTATGGTGCTACACTCTAGCGGCGGCTTTTATAACTTATATTAACCGACAAAATTTTGTAGACCACTCTCATCACTATTTTTCTTTCAAGCCCTACAACGAGTTAGATGAGGAATATTATGGAGGGGACAAGGAACCGAGGTGCTTCGTAATTTCATCAGATTATACGCATTTTCAACGCTGCCATTTTCGTTTTGTGGCACCGAACGGTTGCCGTAGTGTAAAAATTGCTGAAATTATCCAGTATATATTTACTTGCTAAACAAGTGATTTAAATATATCGTTGTGTGATTGTTTAGTAGTGTATTTGACGAAGGATAGCGGATTTGGTGAATAATTTACGTAGTAATTGGCGACTTCCTTGGGTGGTACGGGTGAGTACCACTTCTATCAATATTCCAGGACTTTGCGGCTTACTAATCCTTTGGAATTTCTTTCAATCTTCCTTACAGGCTGTAGAGACCTTATTAAATGTTTCTTTATATAATTATGGTAAAGTAAAATGCTTCTATTAGTAGCATCGTTGTTTATAATAGGTGTAATGTGCAGTGAAGGTTTTATCGTTCTTAATATCGTCACCACGCCTTCTAAATGATGTTATTAGCTTAGCCAGGACCGAATTATCGTGTCTCTGTCTGCTAACATTACTAATACTTACAATGATGCTTGTTATCTGCGGGTTTAATTCATATTAGTCAGCATTATGTCGCCGTAGTCTTAATTTCGCGGAAATATTCAGCTAATTGGGGCACTTTGTTTATTTACCGTTGACGTGTTTACTCTCTTTTGTGTAGTATTGTAAAATAGTAAAAGTTCATTAGTTACAAAGTTAAAAAAATTGCAATTTTGTAGCAACTGGAGCCATGGAAAGGCATAAAAATTTATTAGGGTTATTTTGCGCTACTCCATTCGCGCCCACACGCATAGATTATGAAATTGTAACAGGCAATTCACGACGTATCTTTACAAAAATGTCATCTAATACACACTGTAAGAAAATCATTTTAATTGTTAACAAAACCAATTTTGAACTGGTAGGTGCAAAGTAGGATTATTTTTAAACATGTTAAAAGTATCACATTTAACTATTAGCTCAACGTTTCTCTGGCCGGGCCCATGGGCTGATGGGTCAGGCAACCCATGATGGTAGGTAGTTGGTAATTGTGTTTAATAACATTTATTCTCATTTTGAAATACTGGAGTCGCACGAATTTAATGGCTTATCAGATGAAGTAAAAATAAGAAAAAAGGCTTAATTGTCAACAAAACTTAATTAGCCCTCTATAATACAATGTTAGTCCACATTAAATTGAATAAGTTAATAAAAGTGCAATCCCAAAAAAGTGGTGTTACCAATTTGGGTGGGTCATTTAACAGCTGATAAGATAATGTTTATCAAAATACAGCTTTATTACTTAATGGTGACATTTCACGCTCTAAAAATGTAATCATTCTTTTTAAATTTATTTAAGGTAATTATTAACCGTATTTTGCAATACTAAAATTTATTGTATAACAAAGTTTGTAAAGTCAAATATAAATGAGTGCTTTTTGAGATTGAAATTACTGTTTTATTGGAAGGGTGAAGAGGGTAAGACATCAATATTTCTACTGAATATTATCCACAAAATTTGATATAAGCAAGATATCTTTGAAAAATGTTTTGTACCCTTGTGATGAAGTGATTTTGTTTATCTTTCAATTGATAAACACACAGTGACATTGACGCAAAAGCAAAAAGTATTTTTATTTATATTGATTATTTTAAAACTAAAACCAATATGAAATAATAGCATTAAATTTATTATTTTTTAATGTTTTTAGTTTCAATTGCTAATTAACCCTATGGCTTGATTTTTGTCAAATGTATAGATAATTTGAGCATTCTGATAGATATGTATTGTATATGAAATTTATCACTTTGAATGCTTTGATAATTTTGATCAAGTGGTCAATTGTATTGATACCAAACTATTACTTGAGACTTTTGTATAAATTAAACAAGTTGAACATCAATTTGCTGATAATTGTGTGTGGCATTAGGAACAAACATTATTTTAAGCATACTTGTTCTTTTGAATTAAAAATGTATGTATTTAATTGTCAAACTGAAATCAGCCAACTTAAACTTGCATCGAATTTTGGTGCACTTCATACATGTCACTAGGGCATCATTATTTTATAAACTGCTGTTGTATTATTGTAATCATTGTATGAAGGGGTGACAGCTTTGAATATACGCGACATCCTTCCGAGGACCGCGTGAACGGAAATACAGCGCTTAGACGTGCGCACGCGCTGCTGTTCTATTTATTATTGACAATACGTTTTTCATGTTTTTGTCGTACATCTCTGATAAGAAAATAAATCAAAGTTCATAAAATATGAAATATTTATTTTATTCTTGAAAACATATAATACAATATTACATATTAACAATGATTCAATATTTATTAATCTGATCTCAAAAAAATTATGGTTCGCTCAACTTTTCAAATTCTTTAAATGCGGCAGATATGACGGGCGTAATGTCCCTGGCTGGTTTGTCTGATAAAGACAACCAAATTGATCCATTTGCTCCTTCCTTGAACTTCTGTAAACACACAGCCACGGCTGACTCGGGCCTGTGGATTGCACAAGTGACTAATAGTATCTGTTAATTGCATTAACATATTAAAGGTTTTGGGAAATGGTACTGTGCAATGTGATATGGTAACATTGTTTTAGCCTCTTAAAAACTTTTAAATAGTTTTATTATAATGAATATCATGTTTTTGTTACCATTTTATTATTTTTTGTGAACATACTCCACTAGTTTGATTTGTTGATACAAAGATCGAACAAATACAAAGAAACATTCCCTCGGTCTGGCTGGATTCAGACCAGTGCTAGTCCGGGATTAAGCGCTCTCCCAACTGAACTATAGAATAAATCAGCAGACCCTATACTAATTTTTCTATTTGCTTTTTTGCCAATCTGCCTTTATTTTATTTACACGGCTTTTTTGCCGTAGTGCCATCTGTGAGCAACCTATGAAAGTTTTTCTAAATAGTTTTTTAGGTGCACCAGAAGTTGATTTAAGTGACTGAATAATTTAGTCGGACTTTAATAACTTTTATGGTTCTACGTTTGATTGTTATGTTTATCTTATAAGGGGATAACTTACTTTTGATTCTGATATTGTTTTTTATACTCTGCATCAAGTGCGACTAGTTCTTCGCCAGTTTTGTCATCATAAGCTCTTTCGCGCAATCCTAGCATTAGTGGGGTGTCTGTCGGTCCAATACATATTGTTAGTATTCTTACACCAGTTTGTTCATAAAAAGGCTCCACCTGCGAAAAAGTTATCAATAAATTTTTCAGAATATATTCTTTAGCTGTTTGGTTCAATAATAGCCATAGTTTTGACTTGTCAAGAAATATAAGTATTAAATTGTATTGCCGTGATAAGAGCAGATATCCAGCTAACATTGAAAGTATTTGTGTATGAAATGATAGTTCATTTTTGGGACCTCATTCCTGCAGCGCCTCTGCACAATAAGCCATACATAATTGACAAATATTTTGACGTGAACGCTTGGGACTATCGACATTGTAAAGGCACCCATGTACAGGACGATATGTTTTCACGACCCGTCTTTTCAGGCTAATCGAAACGACGAATCGATAGTGTTTGTTTCAGGTTAACTTGATCCAAAACGACATCGAAGATCGCAACAGCTCATGTTAGTACTTGACAGTTCATTTGACATTTTTCAACGTTGTTGTAATTGTTACAGAGGAGAGCCTCATTTTGCGTTGGGAGTAACAAATAAGTTTGAAACCTTTGTCTGTCTGCGGCGCACAGATGGACGTGCGGGAGCCACGATCTCAAGCAGTTTTTTTTATTTGAAGGCTGGTTTATATTGGGGTGGTTTAATGGTGGTTTAATTGGTGATGAACATCTATGTGCTCAGCTGTTTAAAGATCATCAGCTCTTGTCCCATTTAGTGATCTCCACCATACAATATGTCGAAGAATTTTTAAATCAAAGTTTTTTTTGTATCGCCGTTTATTGATAAGTTTGCCGATTTCTGTCGATGTTTTATATGGAATAACATTGATTGAATAAAGCTTGAAAAAAAAAACATAACGTCCTTATTAACCCCTGAAGTATTACTTACGGCTAAACTCTGACTAAAGTGCAGCACAGCCATTTTCGAGCCAGAGTAGATTGGCAGGTGTCTCCACCGATAAACAGCAGCAGTGGATGACACGTTAATAATTGTACCACCTGCACCACCTTCGTCTTTCCTCATATGCTTCACTCCTTTCATCGTCAGTGATACCACACCTTGCTACAACAATAAAGGAATTTTTAAATATATAAAGGAAAATAGAAATATGAAGGTACTGACGAATATCGTACGATGGCCCGTTCATATTACAAGAGACCGATACCTCCAATGAACACTACGCCAAGTTATTTTTTTTTACTTTTTTGTGAACAACCGTATTTATTTACTAATACCTATTATGCTCCCCGAAATTTGTAAAAAAAAGAAACAAAAACAAAATTCGAAAATAAAGCAAAAAAACGAATTTCGTGAAAAAAAAATTAGGAAACAAAAAGTAAAACTTCCGATGTCGTTGCAGCTGTTGAAGCGGTTAAAACGCTGATTTTAGAAACATTGCTCATTGGGCTGAGTCTTTTGGCTTGTTGATTAATCCCAAAAAGTAGCAGGCCATGATTGTGGGAAGTGAGCATATAGGTACGTGGCACTTTGGACTTTGATTCTGTCCCAATTATACAGTATAATTCAACGCCTATTGCCTATACTTCTACTGCTACTAATCTGGGTCTGCTTGTGGATTGTAATTTAACTTGGACTTCACATATTAATGAAGTCAGTTGAAAAACCCATTTCTCTTTGCACTCGCTTAAGCGCCTCCAAAACTTTATGCCTTTAAAAACCAAGATCTGTGTAGCTCAATCTCTTATATTACCGTTCTTAGACTATGCAGATTCCTGTTATTTAGATGCTACTGAAGAACTGCTAAATAATCTTGAACGGTTGCAAAATCTATGTATAAGGTTCATCTTTGGCCTTCGTAAATATGATCGAATCTCACACTATCGCAATCAGCTCAAGTGGCTTCCCATTCGTCTGAGCAGGAATTTGCATATCGTCTCTCTTCTTTACAACATTCTACATAATCCTTTGTCTCCCTCTGAAAGAGCGTTTCAGCTTTCTCAGGTCCCAGGATAAGCCTTGTCGCTCTCTCGTTAGGTCCCAGTTATCTTTTCCATCATTGAATTCCGGTTTTTATTCTCACTCCTTTACTGTTCATGCGGTCAGACTTTGGAACGCACTTCCCATTACTGTCCATGCCAGTAAATCCTTAGCTATCTTTAAAATGAGAGTCAAGGAACACTATTTATCCTCAGTTCCATCCATTTTATAGATATTATAATACGAAATATGTATTTATCTAAGTATTTATACAGTCTAGTAATTTAATATTTTTTCTGTTCTTTTTTTTATTATTATTTTATTACATAATTTAATTTTGTTTTGTTGTGCACGTAAACCCGTTATCGTAATTATTGCGTCCTGTAATTTGGTCTGCAGGAAGAAATTTCTTATAGAAATAAGCAGTACCTTTTGTTTGTGTTTTCCGTTTTACCGAATGTGATTTGAAATAAATAAATAAAATAAAAACAGAACAGATCCAGAAATTAAGTTATCGTAGTGTTCATTGCAGGTATCGAGACGTTGAGTTACGGACACCAGCCCGTTACGCGTGCCTTATTCCAGCGTGACCATGGTCGAGTTTTTGAAATTTGACTAGCCAAAGCTATTAGGGTGTTTTACTGTCCACGCTGAAATAAGCTTATTCCGGCGGCATCCTTTTTTGGATCTCTAGAACCACAGCTCCTAGCTTAGATCTGATTGCACCCAGAAAAAGTTGTCAATTAGTCGGTTCTAGTCGCAAAGTTTTAGAATTAGTCGCTCATTTGTCTAAAAGATATTGGATATTCAGTTTTTTCATTGATTGTTACATTTACATTGAAAAATTATACACATAATGAAAAATGTATGTCTGTATTCCGTCCAACCGTTTATTTAACTTGTGACAGTTTGAGTTCAAATCGATTAGTGATGTTCTAATGCGTTACCGATTCTATTTTATATAACATATCGATACGATATATAACAATACGGCACGCGCCCGTTACTACGTACCATTAGCGTTGAATTTGAATATTAAGAATCAAGCTTGACTATACCAGTTACATTTAATTAAGCTGATTCAGCAAACAAAAAATACAAACGCAATGAGAAAATTACGAAATTTCGCCAATTTAAAGATGCAGTACAAAAATTCATAAACTATAAGATGTTTAAAACTTGTTACAGAATATGATATCGTCGTCTGATTTTCGTTTGCGAGCAGAGGCTCGTGGCCTAAAAATGTATGTACAAATAAAAAAACTTACCCAATTCACATCACTAGCATTCCTCCATACTTTAGGTGCGTCGCTCATGATACCAGCATTGTTAATAATCACATCGATTTGTTTAAATTCGCTCACGACTTGCTCGAAAGCTGCTGTAATAGCGTCTTCACTGCTCACATCACAATTGATGAATAACACCTTTCCTGGATAATTGTTGTTGAGACGATTTGCTGTTGCTTCACCAACTTCTGCTTGTATGTCCAGGATGGCTATAGTCTAAGTCAAAGTCAAAGATCATTTTATTCCATAGGTAATAAAAATTTACACTTGAAAATGTCACATTTACATTACATTACGCTACTGCTCGTTCAATACGCTGACTTCCCTGAGAAGAACAAGCAAGAAACTCAAGGGATTGCTCTTTTCAAATAAACTTAAATGTTATGGAATACACTTTGAATCAAATTTATGTGGATTATGGAGCGATGTCGTCTTTCCATACATCTTTATCTAACACGTAGTCTTCAATTTTGTAATATGACTTTTCAATCAAAATATTTTTAATGTAGTTTTTAAACTTAGGAAATGATAATCTTAATATATGCTCCGGAATCTTATTGTAAAAACGTATACAGTTCCCCATAAAAGACTCGTTTATCTTGGTAAAACGAAATCGTGGTACCATGAGTTTGGACTTAGCTCTAAGGTTAATATTAAGTATGGATCTCTTCTTTCTTATTGAAATTAAGTATGTTTTTACGGGCATATAAAATATTTTAGTAAATGTACTGTGATGCCACAGTCATGATACCAGTCTCTTTAAACTTTCCTCTGAGAGAAACCCGAGAGCCTAGACGGTACACAGAACGAATCGCTTGTTTTTGCAATACAAATATGGTTTAAATATGAGAATCCCATAGGACATTATACTATGGAAGTATCTAAAGTAAACTAGTCTAGCAGTACTAACATCGGTAAGCTCACGTATTCTGCGGACTGCGTATGCAGCGGAGCTTAATCTGCTGGCCAAGGAAGATATACGTGGAAACCATTGAAGTTTACTATCTAAAGTCATTCTGCATTTAAAATGTAATTATTTATTGGGATGACCGAATGTTTTAAGTATTTTTTTAACAGAATAAAAGCACAATTGCGTGCGACTGTATCATCTACGCGAAAAATGGTTGTCGATACAACCGAAAAAAATATATAAATTTCTGAATTAAACTTGAAGAAATGACTACTATGTGTGTTAAAGAAGACGAATGGTGTACTTACTGCAGCTCCTTCTTTCAAAAACGCTTCCGCGTACAGAGCACCTAGACCTGAAGCACCACCGGTAACCAGAACAGATTTTCCCTTAATGTCTGTTTCTGCCATTTTACTGGTTGCCGCCGTTGCTGTATCTTAGTGTTAAGGACGTGCCAAATTGTCTCGCTTATATATGGGAAATACGTTTTATCGCGGAGATAACACTATTAACATGACAATTTACTCATAAGTAACATATAAATTCAGATAAAACTCAAAAAAGTATATTTTTATGGGGTTATGTTTATTAACACGAAAGCAGGGTATTTTCTAATTAACACGGCATTCCTAAGGCTTAAAAAGAGCAATAATTATTTTTGTGAGACTACCAAAACTTCTTACAAATATTATAGCTGATTATCGATTAGTACAGGACGTCAATGAGTTATTAAAAATAAACCTGCATGTGAAAATTTGCAACGATCGATACTATAATATATAATATATAATGGGAGATTGTATAACCACATTCATTTTAGGCACAAATGTAATCGTTATATGGATGTGGATTTTCTGACAATTGAGTGTTGTTAAAAAAAACCCACCTTTACCTTTTTTTACATCTTTTACACACTTATTAAATTAATTAGCGTATGTATTAGCCTGCCGTGTTACTCGACATGGTCGTCAAAAATGGTAATGTTAGCCGACATGTCTTCAGACATTTTTGACGCAAAATGTCGATATATCCGTTAACATATCGGGTAACCTAACATTCGTTGTGAACACGTTTATGTGTTATTTTTGACGTAGATAATATTTCTGAAAGTCATTGTGGTAATCTGACAAACATTTCGTTTTATGTTAGGGATAAAAATGCGATATTAAAGTTGATTGTAATGATGGGATTATTAGACTATAAAACTCGCAGAATCATGTGCAAAAATCATGTTTTCTCAAATTTTGCAGTCCATTTCGATTTAATTTCTGAATTCTAGATTCGGCTGTGTTAAATTTCGTTGTTAATTATGATTTCGAAAATACAATTTTGTTCTGGGAGTCTACTCTCGTTCTCCTGCCGACATCCGTCCGAAACAATAATTGTAAAATAAGTAAAACTCGACCAAATTCAATTCAAAGACAATGTCAAGTATGAAGCTTCATTTGCATCATGCGTCTTTTAATTTAGTCGAGTATTACTTATTTGACAATAATTGCTTCGGACGGCTCAATAGTCGTCAACAGCTGCTTTCGTGAACAATGTAAACGAAATTGACAGGCACTTTATTGTGCAAATTACGCCATTGAGGTATGTATCGTGTATATACATACACGACCTGTAAGTATCCAAATCCCAAAGTTTTGGATGTTTTTGGATTGTTTTTGGATTCTGCTGTGTAGGATTTCGTTGTTAGTCCAGATTAAAAAAAATTTGCTTCTGATTAGTGTCGATTGCTGTTGGAGCTGAATAGTGGTCGACAGCTGCTTTCTTGGATACCGTTCCTACGACCTCCGTGGTCGAGTGGTGCAAGCCACCAGTTTACATTATGCAGCCATCTCTGAGCTAAGTAACTTTTTTATATTGTCCCGGGTCTGGGTGCTAGTGGTACCGACTCGTCGTTGCTTCCGATTTCCATAACACAAGTGCTTTAGTTACTTACTTTGGGATCATAGCAACTTATGCGATGTTGTCTAATACTGTAAACGAACGTTGATAGACACCTCAATATGTACAATACGCCATTGAGGTTCTAAGTACATGCACGACCATGTTAATTCTCCAAATACCTTCTTGTTGCGCCCGCCTAGTAGATAAAAAGACGTTTATGTAAAACTAATAGACCACAATAAATTACTGTAAAAGTAACAAAGAACATGTTAAGGAAAACTTTAATAAAATCTCCTGACACTTGGCAGAATATCAGCTAAAGCAATGTGCTTCTTAATACACTGTAGCTGAGTCATTGAATTATTTGTATGGTTATATTAATATTATAGTGATCATTTCTTAGTTCCTCTTTTTATAGTATTATTTTAAGACTTATATCAGTAGAACTGTGTAAGTAATATTGATTTAATTATAAACATACCTTGCCAATCAACATCTTAGGTGAGTTGAACGCATTTCCAAGAGATGGTCAGAGGAACTTTTCGAACTGGTGCCACCGTCACGTTTCCACAATCGCACCTTCCGCCAAGGAATAGAGCCCATCCCCACATCATAGATGGCTGGCATTGTAAGCGCCCAGTTACATGAGGAGAAAGCTTTCGCGCGGCCGCCGCACGGCGACCGCCCAGTTACCACGCCTTGATGTACATTAATAGCGAATCTGAATTCTATTTACTAGGCAACAACATTTAAATTCTTCTTAAATAATACAACCGCGCGGTCGCCGCGTGGCCGCTGTGTAGACCAAATTCAAGCCAGGTTCGCCCGCGTGCCCGGGACGCTCATGTAGGTAAGTTGAAACGTAAAATCTAAATATATAGAGCGCATTTTGCCATGACAGTTAGACGCATGCCGTCGCGGCAACGCGGGGTGAGCGCCATGAAATTCGCCCTAAGGCCACGCGGACATTACGTTCGTTTCTTCCTCGAACCTGCAAGATGTGGAATGGTCTCCCTCTTGAAGTATTTCCTTTGCGCTATAATATGGGGTTTTTAAAAAATCGTGTCAACAGGGCTCTAAAAAGGCTGGCAACGCATGGGTAGCACATCTGATGTTGCAAATGTCCACGGGTGACGATGACCACCTCCCATCAAGTAGCTCGTCTGCCTTTTGTCCCCTACTTTACATAAATAAAAGATACTACCTCGGACTACTCTATTTTATCATAAATTTCGTTTGGCAGTATTCAATGTATGTGTAATTGCAGTTCGTGCGTACTACGTAATCGGTGCATCATTTATGTGTCCCAACTTCAGTTTTACACATGTTGGATGGTACACATTGCATATTCTGTTCAGATAGTGCAATGAAGCGAGGCGGGCCGCTCCACTTGGTGACGTATCAGAGCGATAGCGCGTGCGTCGGGTGAAAACTTGGAATAAATTTAACACATGGATTAAAAACGCTGAAATCATGACTTGCCATCATACCGATTAAGCGCACGGACGTTTTGAGATCATGCCTTGCGTGAGATTATACTCTTTTTAAAGTAGACCGCTATTGTTAAAAGGCCTGAATTGAACTGTTACAACTTATTGCAGAATCTGTTACGGTGCTTTGTCTCCAAATCGCATCCCTGATGTATTGACGCCACATCTGAAAAATGATAGCTTTTTACTTTTTGACTAACGAAAATAATCGATAATTTTTTTATGCTTAACTAGGACAATTTGGTAAGCAAGACGCTTTGGAAACATCTATCTAAATACAGTGGTTTTAGCAAAAAAAAAATCTCCAGAGTTATATTGCACATTCTTGGTTAATAAGGCCACATCTGCGCGATAAGAACTTTTTAGGAGATTTAAAGTTTCTATGAACAAAATTAGATAGCTTTCTTATACTTAAATGAGAAAGTTGTATCATTTCACATAATAATATGTATACATGATTTCTTTCATGTAGTTCATATTGCAAGGTGAGGTGTCATTGGTGCCAATAGGGTGGTATAAGGCAGTGCAAGTGCACTCCGCTGTATTGGCTTGTTAAATAAATGTTATGTGGGAAATATCGAATAAAATATACAGAAAATAAACTAAATTTATAAGGATACATTGTTATGACAATGTATCCTTATGTAAAGTACGCGCTCTCGAAGCAATATTTTTCTCTGATTCATATCTCTCACAATTGACAATGAGTTAATGTTTGGCACCCAAAACAAATGATGTGAATTAAATTATGATTCTCTTTTTAATTGCAAGTATTTGAGGTATCCTATATTTACGGTGCTAGTGCTTGACACGTGATATCTGTTACGAGTGTGGTACGTGTAGTTTCAATACTCCACATACCAAATTCCCTTTGTACCGCAGGCGGAAGTGTCAATTTGTACTCATACCCCCGCCGCGTGTTCCTGACTCCTCACTGCGTTCATCTTTCCAATGCTTCTGGGGTCCGTGCCAAAAATAAATTCAAATCAATCAAATAGGATCGTAAATCTGCTAAGACACGAAAACATACTTTCAATTGTGACTACTATTTTTAATAATAATCTTAATTTTTCTCTGTAGAGCGACAATGAAAAATCTGCGATCGTTTTAATAGGCACTCGGGAAGTTGAAATATGCAAAGTCGGTAAAGAGGTGTCTTGTGACGAAGCTTCTTCCGTTACCTCTTACGTTGGAGAGAAAATCAATCGCTTGATCCGATAATGCTTAGGAGTTTTCGCTCGTCAAAAAAAAGATTTTATTTTTCTATTATACACGCTTCGTGAAACTAATACCATAGTAGAATAAGAACTATAATTTCCTAGTGCAGTGTAATATCATTGATGAAAATATCAAGTTTCATATGTTACTTAAAACATATACGTACTATGTTCGTCTTGATTTGTCTTTTAAATGTGTTAATATGTCTTTAGTCATAATTATGCGTATTTAGCAATTAATATCGAATCGGGGCATAACAACTTTCGACGTCAAGTGGTTCTTCTACTTCGGTATATCTCTCATTATGCTAATCGGACGTGTGATTAGATGTTAAAGAATTCTAGAAAATAATTAGGTCGTAGTTATGCGCGCACAATGAAATCAATTATCAATAACAAGAAAAATCAATACAAAGTCCTTTAACTATGCACTTTAGGTTTAGTATATTTAATGACGTGTTTTAAAATTCATACTTTACTGAAATACAATAAAGGATGATATGATATTGCCTTATTGTTTTCATTCTCAACAATTACGCTACCGGTATATAATTGTTGAATAGTATGTTTATGATTGATATTAATCAAAATCAACATTACCGTAAAATATAATTATTCATTTCATAATAACAAAATATGTAATGTACCATTACATGTTTTGTTATTAAATATTTTATTGGATTACGTAACCATAACAAATATTATTATTCTTTAGATCTTCCAATAGAAACTGAATAGTAGGAGGCTTCAGCTATGTTCAAGTGATAAGATGAACATGACGTGCGCCTGGTTGTAAGCGATACACCTATCCAT